AGCAGTGCTACTGATGGGTCCCTTAGTGACACAAGGGGTAAAGGGAAGCCTAGGAAATGACAAAAGTATTCTGGTATTTTTAAGCTTAGGCTGTGTTTTACACTCTCTCCACCAAGAGTTTGTGAGAATTTCATAGAACAAGACATGAACAAATCAATAGAGGAAACAGCATCTGAGCCACAATGCAGGCATTTATTGTCTCCTTGTGCATTAAATTACCCAATTAATGTTTCCCGTTGCCTTAGCCTGTTCTAATAAGGCTTGACTGTCGCTTATCAGCCCCTAATCTTCTAAATGATGAACAAGAACTGCAGCTGGATTTACAAGAGCCTTTGGGGCACAATACCAAACTCCCAGAGTGCCAAAGATCCATCCTTGGAATTATGCTTATTAGAGTTTCTCATTCATTATCATTTCCTTCAAACAAATATCCACTAATAAGATCAGATTGACTTTATTATTTATTATTTATTAAGTACTATTAAAATAGATACACTGGACAAGTAATCTCTGCATATAAATCATTTGTCAAAAAAAAGATATTTTCTTGCATAAAAATGCCATTTTGAAAACCAATACTTCTTCGAGTTAACTGAGTTTGCCTACTTTGTGGGTTTATTTTTCCTGAAAGGGTGATCTATAGTTTAAACTGTTTTGGGCTAAGAAATATCTTTTCAGAGTAACTGAAAGTAATTTTTATGGGCCATGTGCATGAGTTAACTAATTAGAATAACAATATTGGGAAAGAGGTGTGGGTAATGAGTAACTAAGAGGGATAAATGATTTTTAATAGACAATGGCAGTGCCTTCAGAATGACAAATACTTTCCTGTTGTATTATAAAAAATAAATACATCTGTTTTACTAAGAGAGACTTCTTATGAACTGTGAGGCCAGTTGGGGGGAGGAATAGATTCATTTAGATAAAACGCTATTAAATTGCCTGCATAGTGTCCTGTCAGGCAACTATCGACCCCATCCCATGGGAGAAATTGATTTCTGTGCAGAGAGCTATGTGCTTTCTGCAGTGTCTTGCTCCGGTGCTATTGCTCTGGTAATCACACACTGCTGCCTCTTTTCCTTTCTTTCCCTTTCTGCCTATTTGTTGTGGAAAGATTGATTGAGAGACATGAGGGATTCACGTTGCCATATTTGTTGCTATGTGACCTTTTCAATTACATTCTGTTAAATATGTAAATAATTAATTTGTAGTATTGTACATATGAATTTGCTGGAGCAGTCTGCAAGGCTTTCAGGAGGATGCATGTATCTTTGTTCTCCTGTAGACCTATTAGAGCTGACTCAGTTAAGGGAATTCAAAGGCAGCTGAGGATGCTCCCTGCTATTGGTAAGCTAGTTCTCAACACAAGATCTAAAGATGGGAAAATAATTCACACTAGTAACACCAGAATCACATATGTGCTGAAAAGTGAAATGATACATGATTAAGGACCTTTGCTTTGGTTTCTTTCTTTTAGGCATAAATACCTTTTGTCAAGTCTCACCAAAGGGACCAATTTTTTAACAAGCCAAAAACACGAGGTAAAGTAATGACAACATTAAAGTTGAAACCCAGTTTTAAATCTCCCCCCTCTGCAGAGGAATAAGAAACAGGGTCTTTGATTGCTGTGAAATGGTCACACTTTATTTCTCAGATAATACTTCAGTTTACAAAATTGTCTCACGAGTTATGTATATGCTTTACTTTTTTTACTAGCTCTTATAATTCTTCTATTAGTTTCATTCTTATGACTCATTTTAGCATCATCATCATTAGTGCTAAGCAGGTGTTTGAATGTCTGCTTGTGGGAATCAAGGCCCTTGCTCTTCTCTGGGAGTGTACCTTGGCATTTGTACATGGGGGTATCTGGGAATGGGAAAAAGCCAGGGTAGACCTTCTTGCTCCAACTCATGCCAGTGCTAAGGGCATAGAGGGCAATAAAGATCTGTTGGTAGATCACTGCTCAGACAAAATCACATTGCCTTACACTGCCCTTATGCTCCCTTCTTCCTCTGTAAAGAGATGGCAGGACTTTGGTGAATCCACCACTAACAAGGAACATTAAGTGCCTTAGAAATATTTAGCTGTGGTCTTAGGCATATAGCCAGTTTTCTCAACCTATACCCCAGTAGCTGTTTCACAAAGCTGCTGCAGCCTTTTTCAGAGGTGACACAAGGTCATGGGGCAGAGTCCAAACCAGCAACACAGCTCTCACAGAGGGTGAGCCAAGGCAGGAGAGGGAAACAGCACCTGGCTGATGTCCTGCAGCACCTGAGAGATTGTTGCCATAACTGGGATCAGGGATGACTTGGAGCAGGTTTGAAAGTGTGAGGGAAAGGGGATTGCTTAACTGGAGGGTGTTTTGGTGGGAAGAGAAGGAAAGGCAGGTCTGCCTTAAGCAGGTGGTTGTGATTACAACAGAAGAACCAGACAGAAACTCCATCAGAGTAAAACCAGCAGCCTCCCCCTCCCTTCCCTCTCCAGGGGCTGGTGACACCAGTTTCCAGATCATATTGTTTGTGTCCAGCCAAACCTTTTGCCTTGTGCTTAATGGTGACTGGGGCATGTGTGAAAATCACTGCTGCAGAGAGGTGACTGAGATCTGGAGAGATGCTTGAGAAAAATGGAGACAAGTTGGAAGAAAGACTGAAAGCTACATCTAAAATACAATTTCAGAGCACATGCCCCACTTTTCTCCATCAGATTCACAGACCCTTAAGTCTGGTTGTTGTCTGTGAGTCCTGAATACTTCAATATTTTACTTTGTAATAACTTCATTTGTAATTTTTTTCATTTTACACAGACATGGTGCTCTTCATTACTTCTCTTTATTTGTTAGAGAATGCTACAATTAGATAGCTACAATTAGCATCAGGCAATGAGCAGGGAAGCTTTCACATGCATGTGAGCTTGCAGACTGCCAATGAAGTCAAGTTAAAAGGCGTGTGATCTTATAAAAATACACCACATATGATTATGTCACTGCATCTCCTTCGCAGTGAACAAAAAAGTTCAAGATCCTCAACTAAGAAAGTTAACATATAAGCTACTGCTACTGTGGAAGAAATGTCTAAGTCTGTAATTGTACAGAAAGTGTGGGGAGAAAGAAAACATCCATTCCTGTTGATGTGACAGTGTGAGATTTGTGAATAGTATGTCTGTTCCCAGCAGTGGCACTGGGAGGCACTGAGATCTGCAAAGGATGTTTCTAGTCCCATCTTCACCCCTTTCAGGCCTGGGTTCCAGTTAAGAATAGCATATTTATTGGTGAAACTCTAAAGTGGATAACTCTGAAATACATCATTTTTAAGCATGGACTTAATGATCCATTGGATCCTTTTAAACAAAGGAAATTCTATTTCAACATAGGCAAAAAAATCTCAACTGTGAAAATGGTGAAACCTTTGAACAGGCTGTCTGGAGAAGCTGTGACATCTGCCTCCTTGAAGATTTTCAAAACCTGACTGACCAAACATCTATAGAATTCAGATTAACCCTTCTTCTAGCAGAAGGTTAGACTAGGGAACTGCCCCCATTCTCCTCACACCATGGTCTCTTTGAAATTAAATCTTTCTCTGATTTTATAACTTCAACTCCTGGTTACATTTAGGTGTTTGCCCAAGATAATTCCCTGCTAGAACAGCTGCTCCATCCCATGAAATGAAGACCTCATTTTTCATTTGGCTTTTAATACTTTGCATAGCACAGCAAGTGAAGATACATTTCTTCCCCTATTCATCAGCCTCTCCTCCATTCTAGCATTCCTCCCCTGATCAAATAATTCAATTTAGCTTTGCTGCAAGTGGAGGCAAACATTGACTTCTCATGTCCATTCAGGAAGGTGCCTAGGCACCAGGGAGAAGACCATATCTGAGAGCATGAGGTGCATGGGATGAACACATTTTCCAGCTGTGGAGAGATGCAGCTGAGATGGAAATTCTCAAGCAGGGTGACAGAAATTGTTAGAGAAAAATGCTGACTGCAGCACCACAAATCCAGTACCTCTTAACTTTTGGGCTGAAGGTGTGAGATTCCCTCCACCTTGGGGTGCGGAAAGGGAAGGAGAAGCTGTACTGTGTGATTTTGTTAGAAATACAAAGGGAGGGAGGTGATAGGGTAAGGAAGATGAGGAGCCAGAAAGACAGAAGGAAGATGAAAGTGTGGGGTAGTATGTATGTGGGAATTTGTATAGGGGATAGGCAATGTTATGTATATTTGGGGAAATGTCATCATATGAGTACATGTGAAGAAAAGGAGTCAGGTGTGGGGAACAGCAAAAAGCTCCAACAATTAGAGATACCAGAGAAAATAGGTTCTCTTCCTTGTATGTTCTCAGGTGTCATAAGTTTACAAGGGTGGTTTCAGTCCTCTTGGGACAAAACTGACCCCTCTCAGCAAACAAACAGGGACTTGATATTATTGTGAAAGAGATCTTTGAAACACTAGAGGGATACAAATATCAGTCGTGTCTGTGAGGTATGAAATTTCTTGGGACCTATTCTTGTTTGCTTATGTATATGTTTTATTAGGTAGAATTTAATTTGATAGACTATTAGAGGTACATCTGAAGGAAACTGCTGGATGCCCCTTACCAAGTGTTTCTATGCTTCTCGGTCCCAGCAGGGTGACTTCTGCAGCATGATCGCTTTTCATAAAATAAACAAAGCAAGCTACCTGGAATTGGAAAGTGTTGCTAAACCCAGGATTTTTCTAAGACAACCATGCAGTCCAAAGTACCTTAGCTTTCATTGGCTTGCGACTGTATGAGTCTGTGCTTCAGAGAATGTTTAATCAAGGAAGGAATTGCTCCTCATCTCTGTCCCCACTAATTTAATGCAAGAATACATAATTTTAACAGAAACTTTATTCGTGCATGTGGAATAGATTTTGCTTTTCATGTAAGTAACAGAGAAACCAAAGAAGGGGAGAAGCAGTCAAAGCTGCTGGTAAAGGATGAACTGCTTGCAGAGCTTATTTTTAGATCGATGTTTTGCTTCCATTCAGTGTCTTCCTCCTTTTCCACCCATTGCTAAGGACAAATAGAAAGAAACATGTAAGAACAATTTAAAGCAAAGCTGCAGTACAGGGAAACATGCAGATTATGTAAGCATTGGTGACAAACATTCCCAGGTCAAAAATCAAAGGTCTGTGCTACACTTTGAAAGACACTTTTTGAAATGAACAACTTCAATCTTGTCTCCAATTCCCTTCCTAACCCTGTAGGATTGATCATACTACCACAAACAGCTTCCTTACTGATGTGTTCAGGTATAGACTAGGCTTCCCCTGATTTATATGGGTGCAGGTTGCATTAACTTGGCAGGATGATGAAGAAAATTTGTGTTGTTCTCTGCTTTTGACCCAATTAATTACCTTTAAAGGAAAGAAAGTTAAGCAGTTCTAAAAGGCCACAAGTAGTGGACTAATGATTCCTGTCTGTCAGGCTGAGAAATCCGTTGTCATGTTTCATTGTTTCCTCTCAATAAATCTACTTTGTGTGTTCAAGTGTGCAACTCTTGGTTTGAGCCTGAATTTGTGCTTGAAAAAGAATTCATGAACTTCCACTGAGGTGGAAGCATAACCTAAACATCCATTGGGCTTTTTTGCCTGTCACTACGTGTTGCAGATCTCTGTCTCTGCAATTCACTCATACCTTTGCAACTTTATGGCATAGCTCTTGCCACTAATTCCCCAGTATCATTTCCCACCAAGGTTAAACCAACAAACAGGAGAAACATTGCTTCAGGTACAACTCAGCCACTTCTCCTATTTACATCCTTCATCCCGTAAATACATGCTAGAGCTGAAATAGTGCTGACTTCTCAGAAGTCATTTGTTGATTTATCTTTATCAGGAGAACTCTTACTTACAGATGGACTGGACAGTGGAAGTTGTACCACCCCTTGGAGTTCCACCTCCATGAGAACTGGCCTCCTTGGACATCATGTAGGAGGCTTGGGAACCACCAGAGATACCACTGCTAGTAAAACCTGATGAATGCGTTGTGCTTCTGGCCCCTAGAACAGTTACAAAGGAGATGTTACTGACAGAAAAAGGAAGGAACCTTATGGGACAGTTCTAAACTACTGTGTTTTAAATACATTCGAGGCTTGCAAATGTATCAAAAGACAAGGAGGCTGCTGATTACTTGGCTTGGTCTATCAGTATACTGCTGTTTAGCTGCCACCCTTGGGAAAGGATATTCACAGTGTTTTTCTGGATGTTCCCAGAACACAAAGAAAATCTATGACTATTGCATAGACTGTTTCTGATAAACCTGGACATCCAAAATAGTTTCAGCACAGTTTACCTCTGCTGAAATTGCACTTTTTTGAGGAGCTGCCTGAGGACTGTAGAACAAAATCCTACAGAAACTAAGGATTGTTGCAGACCTCACCATTTACTGTTCCAGGTGATGGATATGTCCCTTTCACTTCACTTTCTATAACATAAGCCTGTATATAATAGATGCTTGTAGAATTCAAACAGTGAAAGCTCTGGTAGCCGGTGGCCAATTTATATGTATGTCTTTGTTTCAGTATAAAGAAGCCCCAAGCAAAATATTCCATTGCAAAATCTTCTTCTCCTCCTCCTGGAGAGAAGTAAAGCATTAACGATGACAAATGTTAGCGATAATGCTTAAAGCATTCCTGGAGGATGCTCAAATATTTTGGTGATGAGCTTGTTAGAACATCTTCTGTAAAGTGATATTGAACAATACTCATGCTCTGCTGCAGAATCAGCCGCTCCTTCGAGCATGTTTGTTCTGGGGGGAGGAAGGGTTACAGTCTGAATGAAAAGGTTAAGAAGACGTGTTTGGAGAGATTTCAGTGAGCACCTGCGGAAATGAAATCAGGCCCTTTTAGCTCTCAATCAGGCAAAGAATGTGTGGCAAGCTCTCCTGCTGCAGTGAGCCAAAGCTCACACCTGTCTTGGCAATGTTACAGAGCTAGCATTTTCCACATGGATAAAAGCTCTTTTGGAGTATCTCCTGTCGGCATGGCTAAGGTTTTCTTGAGTCATGCAGATTTCTCTTCACCAAAACAGTGGTTTTCATAGAAGTCAATGTTTAATACAGACATTGCAAGAATAAAACTGGGCATTGTTAAATGTTTACTTTGTTTCTCTCTCTCCTATAATGATTCTTGGCACATGGAGGGATACCAGTCTTTAGTCTTTTGGCTTAAAAATGACCACTTCACACTCTCTATAGGACATGACCACTGAAGAGTTTGCCACTGGTTATGGGTGTGCTGAGAACTGCTGTACCACCCTTATCTGTAACAGAAGGCAAGCATGTGCAGCTGACTCTGGTGTATGACTAGAGTGAGTAACTGGCATCTCCTATGTACCAGTACTTCTGCTGCTAAGGCAGTGTGGTGCCTGAGAGCAGCTCTCCTGCTCTTTGCATTCTCTGTCCCCCTCCTTTCCTGACTCTCTTGTATTCTGTCCCTCGGCTGCTACCATCCCTTAAGCTCTTTGCTACTGAATATTCAATAAACACAGTATTCACCAATCTAAACTCACTTATCAAATCATACAAAGTAAAAATTAAAAAATGCCTCACAGGAGTCACATGCAGCATATCTCTAAATGACCCTTATGCCACTTATTCCCTCACTGTCTAGAGGGCCTCACACTATGAATAATATTGCAGAAATGTAAATCATATCTTAACCCTCTCTTTCTCCCCCCAACTTCCTTCCTCTCAATCAAGCCTATCACATTTTTTACTATTAAAAGACCCTAGCCAGCTTACCTAGCCAACCACCTGTTTTATGGCTGGAGGAGTCAGGTTCAGCTCAATCCTTCAAGAGATTTCTACCTGCTTACTGTGAAAGGAGTAGACCAGTGGTTGACCAATATGGCAGAGATCCACAAGTATAACCAGCCTGTTGGTTAGCATATTCCTAATGCTTGGAAAACGTGTTGGACCCCTAATGCAAAAAGGGTTTTGAAGCCTTTATCCGAGGCCAGCGAGCTAATTAATGAGCTGCTGGGTAAAGCAGGATTGCATGGGGCACTGTGTTCTGTGCAGTCATGCCTGTTTAGAGAACACCTGCTGAATCAGGTCACACAGGCAGGTCTGGCAGGGAGAATACCTTGTGTATGAATCCCACGGGATCTGGGGTTAAACAAGTGGCAAGCTGCTAAGAGTCGTCTGGTCAGGGACTGTTCTGTGCATGCAACAGAACAGCAAACACCTGCAGCATTAGCTCATGTGAAAGGCAGCTATGCCTTATTTTAGTACTTACATACGTGCTGTCAAGGATTTGTATATATTCCCTTTGTGAATTCAACTCCTCAACTACAGCTTATTTCCCTCTGCTACAGCATTTGCATAAGGTTTTACGAGTTCTCCCTGTATGGATGTGTGTGAGTAAAGAGCAAGGGAAATCTGATAATTTATATGAAATGTAGCTACACAGATCATGTTCTTGCATAAGTGCGTTGTTGCTTATTGCTACCATGACTTTCCATATTATTGATGATTCCTAGCAGAATAGAGAGACAGCACAAACTTCAAATAAACACTGTGCAAGACCTCATGAATACCACATATGTATGTGTTCATTCATGCATATGTACATACACAGAAAACACCCTTAATAGCATCCCACTCATAACATGGAGCTAAATGTAAGAATCTTTTGTCTTCAGTGCAATATGGGAATGTAGGAAAGAAGCAATTACTTGGCAAGCTATTTTCAAGGAGAAAAAATTGTTTGACCCTATGCACTGAACTGCAAAACCACACACACACAGAATTGCTCATACCCATTTGCTGGAGAGTAGAAGTGGGTCCTCCAGAAGGCACACCTCCTCCAGATGCTGTTGCTTCTCGGGACATCATTGATGAAGCAAGAGATCCTCCAGAGATCCCGGAGGGAGTGAAACCAGCATTGTGGACGTTCTGATCAGACATTTTTCTCTCTGGTGGGAGAAGTCTGGTGAAGTACTGCAAGACTCAGCCAGTCATTTTATACACTGCCTAGGTAACAGTGGAGAAATGAAACTGATGCCATAACCAGGAAGAATGGAAACTGAAACTTATCCTCATCCAGAAAAAGAAACTGAACTTTATGAACAGGCCTTTTTATTGCTGTTCCAAGGTTGAAATTTAGGCAAATCAACTAGTTTCCTCTTATGCTGCTAAACCAAATCAATAGTCTATGAATCATAGGTTGGTAACTGATGTGGCTAAGAACTTCACTTTTTTACTCTTTTGCATTGCACAATATTGTACTGAATCACACCTGTAGAAGATAGCCCCTGGTTTTAAGAATTCATGCAACTCTGAGTAAAGACCAGAGGCAAAAAGGAAGCAACTATGTGGTCATGCAGAAACTGCAGCTTGAGTTGGTTATGGTTCCCAGAGTTCAACTGTGGTATGGTTACCACTAAAAACACTGATTTAGAGGCAGCTGGAAATCAGAATCCAACTGAAAACAGATGGTTGGAATTGATTTCTATATGGAAGGAACTCTGAGTGGACCTTGTGTCATATGAGCAGACTGACACGGATGTTTTGTTCTTCCTCATGCAAATCCTCCTGGAGCAGATCCTCCATCTTTAATGAACAGGCCTTTGCAAATGGCACACACTCCTTTATTACAGCTTTTCTTAGCCAGTATCTTAAATAAGGCTCATTAAAAATCCATGGGCCTCCTCCCTTAGGTAAGGAGGAATATCTGATTAAGTCACACTACTGCAGGAATGGATCTCAAAGTGGAATTGCACAGAATAAAAATACAACATTTTCACAGTAGTATAATATGTATATCTTGTACAAATGTGGATTATAGAACGAACGATACAAAGCCCATTCCTCTCTTCTTATATGTGCTATTTATCTGAGTAGTAGGACATGTACCCCTGAGCAGCAATGCTCTTTTAACTCTTTCCTTTCATTCAGCTTTTCTTTAATTCATATATTGTTTTCTTCAATTCTAATGTTTGATATTTTTGTTTTCTACTCTGCTTGCATTAGGGTTTCTGTGATTATCATGCATCTCTAGCCCCATAATTTCTCAGGTCTCTCATTTATCATTTTGAATTACTTAATGTTGTAAAATACCTAAAGTTGGAGCTCACATGCAAGTAAAATTCCATGTAAGAATAGGACAATGAATGCTCTAGTCCTTCAAAGTTACAATAAAACAAAAAATGTCACTTTTTTTGTACATATTGCTACAGATCCTTCCTTCAAAGCTGGTAAAATCTTTTGGTGCATCATTAATACAATTTATTTAATATTCCAAATAGCCCATCAGGAAATGATGGTGAAATCTGGCAAAGCCATGGGAAATGAAGGCTTCATAAGTTGCAGAGACTCTATATGAGATGACATTTTACTCAATCCTAAAACACAATTCATAATGAATACACACAAAGCTGTTAAACTAAAAGTAGTCAAAATCAGATAAAATAAAAGTTTTATTGCAAACAAAATGCCTCAAGGCAATCCAGATTGGAAGAGACATCAGCAGATAAGCAGGAAAAGAAGAAATTAATAGTAGTCTCATAAAAATAGGATGAAAAAACTCAGTGTATTAAGGAGAAGGAAGCCACTGAAGGGATTCAAGGGAAGCCTCTGTTTACAAGTGTGCCATGGACCTGGTCAGAAAGGAGGTGGCTCTAAAATCTGCCATGTGGTTGCAGTGAGCTAGATGAGGGACATGTGCGTAGGCACAGATGACACAGTCCTAAAACAGCTGAGTTCTGCTTACCTCCATGCTCTTCGTGCTGCTGTGGCACAGCAGATGTAAGTTATGGAGAAGTTCTGACCTGGAGGGGGTTTGCTTTTATGCGTTTTCAGCTTATTATGAAAACTTGGAACAATCTCTTGTATGAAAATGAATGAAAACAAGGTCAATCTCTTGGGTCAGGACTGGGTCTGCCATTAGGTCTTAACAGCCATGGCCTCCCCTGGGCCTTCAGACCCTGCCTGAACAATGCTGTCAGTGCACTTCTCTGCAGCTCCATCACAACCATACTTCACTGAGACAGACTGAGCCACAGCCTGCCTTCATGGCTTGACCTTGGATCTGCCTGATTAGCAAGGATCAACTTGCCCAGGAACTGCTGGACTGTGATTGTCCCTGGCTGCTATCACCAGACCTGAATGCAATTTGTTGATGCGTGTTTCTGGCTTGACCTTGGAGTTGCTTCTACAAACTTGCCTGATGACTTGGGCTCTTGGTTCAACCTGCTTATCACCTCTGGACCCACCTCTCTTGGTGGGACAGCACCTTGTTGTGCCCTGGTAACATGCTACATGAACATCACAGCCTCCAGCTTAAAAAGACCCAGTGTCACTGCTGATGTGGGATTGGGAAAAAGAACACAGTCCTTGAGCCTGCAGCTTCCAAGGGTCCTCTCTCTTCACCAATTCATCCAGAAAGACATGCTTCTCCTTTCACCTGCCAGCTTTGTGTGAGACATTTTTCTAAATGATCCTCTACCTTTTTTTCTTTGTTTTACTGGCATTTCTGATTAGAAGGGGTAACTTTCAAGATGCTAGGTAAGTGTAGTTGATATTCAGCTGTGTTTTCAAGGAGCCTGGCAGAGAAGCAGTAAGGCAGTTTTAAGCCTTTGTGGACCGTTTGCCAAAAATCCAAGCAGTGATAATTGAAGAGCCAAACTGATGCAACTTCTAGTTAGAGTATGGAAGGAAGAGGAAACAACATCTTTATATCACCAAGCCTGACATTATAACAATAAATTGGATCTGGGAGAATATCTGAGTAAGTTAGCTACTCCATTCCAGAAGCTAAAAATCTGAGGAGAGGAGATAGCTGGTGTGAGCTGACCTGAAAATCATCCAGTGACACTTCTAAGCCTCAGAGAACAGGGAGTCAAGGCCATGAGTCCCAAGAGTATGACTGCCTTTATTTTCAGTGTCACTACAATTTCAGTAGCCTTAGGTGCTGAAGCACTTACACATATAGCTAACACAGTTTGATGTTTAACTCTCTGAGTTTCAGGTTCAAATTAAATCCTTAAGTGCCAAAAAACTAGACTGTGTGCTCGTTAAAACAAATTGGAAAACCAGAGGCTTGATTGGAAGCACTCTAAAAATTTGAGCCACGGGCATCCTTCCCTTCTTCAGTTAAAAAAAAACCCCAAAACCACGAAACAAAACAAAACAAACAAAAAAGGACACCAAACAAAAAAAAAGGAAAAAAACCAGAAAAGCGTGCTATGCTGAAAACACCGAACAAACAAATGCAATGAGATGTGCAGGCAACTCCTCTATATTTTGCTTGGAATGACCTTAATCACTTGTGTCTGTGGATATAAGCTGCTGTGTCTCTTCAGTATATTTTCCTTACAGTCCCCACTAGTGCGCCACTTCAAGATATTTACCTCATAGTAAAGCCAGGCAGCTGATCACAGACATTAATCTCTGCTTTCGGTAGTCACCTTTTTCAGTCCAATAACGTGTTCATCGAAGACACTTTTTCATAAACATTTTCCCATAAACCTCTGTTTCAAAAGAGATTATTCAAACAGCTTTTAAACAATTATTCTTTTGAAGAGTCTAATTGAAGGAAATAAACCTGTAGAGAATCTGACTGAACCAAAGATCTTCAGCATCCAAGATTATCTATCTGTCACCCTCTGACCTACTTCCTTTACACTACTTTTTAATTTTTGTAGCAATTATAGTGTATATGGATAATACCTATTAGCATATTTATGGTCATTGCTTCATATTTATTGTCTGCACAACTCATTAATCTTCATCTAGTGTGTGAAGCTGACAGCTCAATCTATTTTGCAATCTCTGGGCAGCAGCCATATCCAAAAAGCTTTTGTTTCCCTGTAAATAAACTGTGTTCAGGACCAGAGGACAATGGTACATCATACAGTGATTGACACAAGCCATGGCTGCTAATCAAAAGTAGATTTTATTACCAGCTGAGTCAAGTGCATTATGGGGCCATTGTTCTAGTGCTGTCAGGGCAAGAGCATACGTAGTCAGTCACCTTCTCAAGATGGGTTGATTGTTCTCCAAGATTAGACAGAGTTGCCTTATTATCCATCCCAGACAACAAGGCATCTCACCCAAACAGACGCCTTTACAGAAACTGCCTGTACATTGAATTGATTTGAATTGCTAATGCATAATCTGTCCAGCACAGATGTGCAATGAATATTTGGATGTTGTTTTGCATGTCAGTTGAGAAGACTGAATGATGAGGTGATGATCGTTCAGTGATGGGTACTGGACATTTGCCAACAATTGAGTTTGAGCACTTTCCCTGACAGTAATCAGATCAGCTTCCAAAACGTCTTTTCTTCAATTCACTGACAATTTATGTTAGAAGATAATGCAACTCTCTCACAGTTAACACAGTTGGCAGCAATTTGCATTTTTTTCATATAATTAAATTTTTCATTTCACCCAAGAAGAAATACATACAAGCCACCTATAACTGATATACATATTCCAAGACACTTCCAAAGTAACTCCACTTGAATAAGAGGCCACCTATATAAGCCAAAAATGGTGAAACTCTCCATAACACGGGTGGCACTAGTTTCATTA